CAGCTCAGATCCCTTGCACAGCTCTTTTAATAGTTCTTTTCTTAGATCTCTTGCATTTTTCAAAGGCAAAGCAGATAATAAGACACCCTTGGTATACAGTATTAACATTTTGTTATATTTCTCTTTTTTGTTGTTTTTATACGTAGTTCTATGACATGTTTACATCCTATAATTTTTGCCTTTCTTTCTTGTCTTTGCATTTTCCACATTTCAAACTTAAAAAGTCTCTTCAGAAATATTTTTATTGGATGAATCATATTCTGGTCATTGAATCATCATTTACTTAACAAATTTCCTAATGGTAGATATTTTGCATCATTTCCATTTTTTTTGCTGTTAGAATGCTGTGATTTAACAGGAATTTGCTAGGTTAAGGGTTAAAAAATTTAGATTTCTCACTCCTTGTGTTTGGAGGCCCACAGCTGGTGCATTAAATTGAGACCATGCAGATTATGACCTGCTGAATGAGGAGGCACAGGCCACCCACACGGGTTGGTAGGTAGCTTCCTTTGCATCCGAGCTCCCACTTCAGGGAAGTGAAAACCCCAGCGTCATTTTGACTGATGGCTATTTCAGTATACTCAAACAAAGGAAGTAAGTCATAAGATTTATTACTTATGGATCCTAGAAATGTGGGCAACAGAGTCGGGGGTGGGGGTAGTTTGTAGTGAGCCAGGGGAAAGGCAGGCCTCTGTCCCAGGTCACAAGTGAGCAGGAGATAGAGCCCAGGTGTAAGCACCTCCCAAAGTGGTTTTGGTGGTGATCTCTAACTTTTCACTAAGAGGTTACTTTAAAGGTGCCCCAGGAAAAGCAAAACAGGAACTTATGGTGGGTTTGTGGTGGGAGTCCTAAACTTGGATCCTTATCTAAATGTCCAGACTCTGGGTGTATACAGAGTTGTCCTACTGTGAAATGCCTAGGCAGAAACTCAGAATGACTGTTTTCTCATCACATTTGCTATTTGTGGTCTGAAAGAGTTATACCGCTATGTGAGTGAATGCAGCTATTTCATTGTCTTTCCTACCATTGATTTTTTATTATCTCTTAAAAAAATTGCTTGATGATTTAATAATGAGGATGATACCACATTTTGGGTTTATTTCTTGATTATTATATGGTTGGTCATACTCCCATATACTTAACAACCCCCATGCTTCCTATCTTTTAAATGTTCTGTTTATGTGTCCTTTGCCCATTTACCATTGGGGAATCTAAGTATATTTCCTTATCAATTTTATGAGCATTTGATTAACAATCTCCTTCATGGCATTCCCTTTTTAACAGGCTCATTTCCTCAGTATAGATAAGTTGGGGGGTTTTGTGTAGAGAAATCTGCTGATCTGTTTGTCATTTTTTTCTTTAATTTTCTTTAAAAGCGTTCCACACAGATTTGTATAAATTTTAAAATTCTGCTGGTTTTAAGAGTTCCTGTTTTTAATGTTATCTTTCTTAGTTTGCTGTGTAGGTTTATAACATGAAGTGAGTGTTAAGTTGGACTGTTCTCTGATTTTCCCAGCATTGTTTAGTGAATCTTTCCCTCCCCCTTTGATTTGTGATTTTTGCTTCTAAAGTTAACAGTGTTTGAGAACACACTCTATGGTGGGCACTGATCTAGGCAGTTTATATGTATTAGCTCATTTTTTTCTTATAACACCCTGTGAGGAAATGGAAGGAGACACAGAGAATTCTTAAATATACTGTGGTGATCTTCCTTTCTATTTTTATGCCACTGTCATTCTGTCTTAATTATTAAGCTGATTTTCCCTCTTGAGAAAGACTAAGAAACCTTTACTATTTCTTCCTTTTTCTATTCTTGCCTGTTATTTTTTCCAGATGAACTTAAGTGTTTTATGTGATGTTCCAAAAAGAACCTCCTTGGAATGTTGCCAGCATTGCCTTAGTCCATGAGCTATACTGGAAACAGTCACATCTTTCCAGTGCCAATCAGGGTGTATCTCCTGTACGTGGCCTTGGTGCCGGGTACACTCCAGGTGCTGAATTATATTTATTGAGTGGAAGAATAAGTTAATAGACCTTTGTTTCTCATCTCCATCAAGTCTTGATTTATACCTCTCATTAATATTTCAAAGCTTTTGTCCTGCACATTTCATGTGAATGTTATCTCTTAGCATTGTATGTTTTGGTTGTTACTGTCATGAATAGTATCTTTTTTCTGTTATTTTCTAATTACATGTTGCCAGCATATGAGAAAAACATTAATGTTTCCATATTTATTTTGTTATTTACTTGAAGGTACTCTTCTTAAGATGTTCTTGAGGTATGCTTTGGATAGACAGCTATTTCACCTGTTAATAATTATTTTTTTCTTATTTCCCTGTAATTTTATCTGTCGTTTCTGTAAAAGATTGTTTGGATTCTGATTTTAATAGAAATAACTGCACTGTTAAGTATAATGTTGGCTTTTAGTTTGCAATATATGGTATCATTCCTTATCTGGTTCTGAAAATGTATTTAATTAAGAATAATCTTTTAAAAGATTTTAGGTTGACTTTTGCCTGACATTTTGGGTGTCAGTTAAAAGAATTTGGTATTGCTTCAGAGCATCATTATGAAAGATTATTGAGCAGCACATATTTATGATCTTTTAAGTTAGCCATAGAAGGCATCTTCTCATTCTGCTGTGATAACTGAATGTTTCTCTTTCTTCTGGGTACCTATTCCACTAATATCTGGACCCGAATTCTAAAGGGTGGAGGAACAGAGACTGAAGCAAACACCCTTTCATTCTCTTGCTCTTAGGTTATAGAGCTGGGATGTTTCCTTTTATGAGAATTTCTCTAAGCATTGGGCTTGGACAATCACACATAATAAGAATAATCCTAACAACAGCAGCAACGTTCCTGAATATAGAATATGGGGTCCAACGCACTGTTATAATGCTTTATGTGAATTGTATCATTTACTGCTCAGAGAAAAACACTGTGAATAAATTCGAGGTAACTGTGACTTAGAGCAGTAGTAACTTGTCCAGGGTTGTATAGCTAAGAAGTGGCAGAGACAGGATTTAGACCTAGAGCCTCTGATACTAGGGCACACACTCTTCATGGCTGCGTTATCCTGTGTTGCATTTGTTTTTGTGTTTGTGCACTTATATGGATCCTCCTGACTGCTAAGAAACAAAAATTATCTGTAAAATAGAAGCAAGCCTTGGGGGTGGAGAGACAGATATATATCTTATGAGCTTGAGAGGACTTATGCATTTTGAAGTGTTTTGGGAGCCCAGTAATACTGTAGTTCTTAGTGGCAGATAATGAGCCTTCCTCCATTAATAATGATAAGATCACAATTTCCTTAGAAGGAAATCTGTCTAATCACTTTAAGGTAGATAATAGTTCTTCCTAAGGACTGAGAATCTGTGGTTGACATGTGTTGTACTTGTAAATTCACTGAATTTTTCCTCTGCATTTTGTAGGTATGTCAGTAAGATTGGCATAATCCATAGGCTGCTAGTGCTATAATTCATAATTTCACTTTCTTCTGATTTCTCCTCATAGGATTTCAAAGACAACATTGAATTTTTGGCACCCTCAGGGTGAAAGACAGTTAAATCTTAGAAACCTATTTTTTATGAAAACTCAGTACCTGTGTTAATTTTTTAAAAAGATACAAGTGTATGGTACAGTATATCTAAGCAATTATCCTCTCTCATTGATGGTAAAGACACTCTATCAGTAATTGGGAGACAGGGAGAACAGCTTGCCCATTTGGAAAAGTAATGCATTTTAAAATCATTTAGGGGACTTTTCCAAATAATCCCTTTACTTCATGGTGAAATTCCTTGACATAGTGGCCCAATTAGGTTTGCTGGGGCAGAAAGCCTGTTCAAGGACCACTGTACTAGTCAGCATTGGACAGGAATTGCTTTATTGTAATCTTTCCATAAGCCCGGTTCCTTAAAAAGAAAAAAAGAGCACATTAGAAGGTTGTTACTTTTTTCTCTCTCTGCTTAATTTCCCAAACCAGGAAAGAGGTCTGTCTTAATTTTAAAATTTCTTAGCAAAGAGCATAAAAATTTCCTTCTGGACTTTTCACAACTCTAGGAAAGCTTGAAATAAGTTCTTCCTTATGTCTCACAAATTAAATAACTCATTTGTGGCCCACCTATCTCAGTTATGCTGTCTGCATTTCAATCTGGCCTTATTTCAGGGCTTCTCTTTCTGACTTTTGGCTATTATGTTTATCTCTAATTCCTAAGGTGGCTTACTTTTATATTTGTAGAAAATTCTCAGTTTTCTTCTGGTTGGAGTCCCAGGTTGGTTTGATTAGGAGCATCAAGACCTGTTAATGCCTAGCCCTAGTCCTGTTGTCTGTTTCATGGGGTTCATCACATGGTTGTAGCACCAAATGAATCCCAACTTCCCATTCTCTTTTCCCTTTTTTCAACCTCTCCCTCCCTTAGTACTGCCTATGTTTGTTAGACCCCCATGTTTTATCCTGAAACTAACCTTATTTTTAATTTAGGTAAGTCAGATTCTGACATGTGGAATGTAAAAGATAAATTTCCCTCTCCTCCACATAGAAGGCTTTAAATTTTGTAAATATTTAAAATGTCCATTAATATGTGGTTTGTTAGATAAGCATTAAAACTGTTCTTTCAATAAGTCTTAAAACTAAACTTTTCACTATGTTTTTAATAGTTTTCTTAAATTCAAAAAACAAAGCCATTAAATGTTCCTTATTAAAATGCAAAGCCTAGTGTCCTAGCTTTTTGAAGAGCTTTTGTCCATTATATAATCTGTAAAGTAGCCAAGAGTTCCTCAGAAGCAGGACATCATTTAGATTTAAAACAATTATGGCTTGTGTGTAAAATAATGATGTGGCCTAACCATTCACAGGGTGGCAACCACAGTCTTACTTTAGTGTATCCAAAATCCTTGAATACCTCCAACATTTCATTTGCCATAAAGCATATATCAGTGCACCCAGAACAAAATGGGTAGGTCATTTTGATTCTACAAAGTAAAGTTGGTACAACTAGAATGCTGAATGACACAGTTATGAGCATAGACCTTTTATTTTTTTTTCCCAGATGTTTGACAGTGTAAACATACATAAAATACATATTAAAGTTTAGATGCTTTATGTTTTGCGCAATAAATTGAAGCCTTAAAAAGAAAGCATTTCATTTAAAAAGAAGGAACTCATTAGTTTTACTTAATTAAGACGGTAAGATAGCAGCAAGTACCAAGACATTGTGCACTTCTTTTATTTAAGACAAGTTACTTCATTTACATCAGAGTCAGAAATGTAAGACTGGCTTTCTTGAATATTTAATATAGCTTGAATCACTGGTTAGGGGTGTATTTTCCCAGCTATACATCAGGGAGGAGTTCTTTCATTAGTTTCAGAAAATGCAGACCCTCAGCCAGCCAGCATGACCACAGCATTGAGCATTAAGAGAAATGAAGCATTTACTTTCCAAGCACTTGCCACAGAAAGCAAATGAGTGGTCTTTACATTTGTGGTTGTCTCTTCCCTCCGTAAGTTAAGAGTTGTGCTTTGTTGAGGCCTCTCAGAGAAGTTACTCGGCATGCCACTAGTAATACTTAGGGTCATGGGTGTTGGGGATGATTTTATTGAGCTAGTGAGGCTTGTGTTTGTAACCATTCCATCTTGGAGATGAATAGTTAGAGTTGCAGCTGCTGCTTCATGTGAATTGATCGTTTCTATGGATGTATCTTCTGGATAGGGCACAAAAGCCTTGTCAGTGCTAGGAAAGGTGGTGTCTTTGCTTAGAGTGGCACCAAACGTTGTTTCCTTTGTTTGATATTGTTTGGGAATTCTGGTCACTTTGGATTGAGTTACCATGTTCAGAGAGTTAATGGTGTCCACTGTCTGCATCCCATTTACAGTTAGCAAGCTTGAGGTAAATCCAGAAGGTGTGGGGTATATGTTATGTTCCTTCAAAGATGATATTTGCCTAGAACAGGGAGTCCCTATCACATGGGCTTTTGTTTCCATCATCCACTTCAATAAGTAAGTAATGTTTTGTTCATGGTCACATGACCACCTGTTATTGTAAAGGGTTATCTCTTGCAACTGAAAGAGTTGGTCAAAAGCTTGATCTGGAATGAATGTGAACTTATTATTGTGCAGGTAAAGATGTGTGAGATTTTTCAGGTTTATTAATGTTCCTGGAAGGATTTGTGTCAAGGAATTGTTAGACAGGTCAACGACGTGTAGTTTGGAGGGCATGTTGGTTGGAACTGTCCAAAGTTTGTTATTACTGAGATTGAGAACCTCAAGACTTCTTAGTGTATTTTTAATGAGGACAACCTTTTCCAGCATATTCTTAGAAACATCCAGATATATAAGGTTCCACTGGTAAGCAGTATCAGATTTGTCAAGCAGCTTAATGTTGTTGTTAGCAGCAGACATATTCCAGAGAGACCGAGGTAACTGAGCAGGCAGGCTTTCAAGCCTGTTGTTTGAAATGTCCAGGGTCCTCAGATTGGTATATTGGGTTAACTGGTTATGCAGATCAGTGAAGTGATTATAAGACAGATTTAAATGGATAATATTCTCTTGCAGTCCAGATGGTAATGTAGTCAAGTTTCTGCCTGAACAGTCCACATGCCTGTGCCTCTCTGTGCATGTACATTGGAGAGGACAAATGCATAAAATACCAGGTGTGAGAAACAGAAGGATGAACAGGCTGGGAGACATTTTCAATATCTGATATTCCATCAAAGCCTGAAAACAAACAGATACACCCTTCTTTTAATATGCAAATACAATTAGGCATCTGCATGGGTCAGTTAGCATTAGGCAAAATTTTCAATAAACCTCATTGTTGTTGAGTCCTTTTATAATTGTTCCAGTGATTAAACTAACAAAGCTCCCCTTCATTTATAGTCCAAATGCTTAATCCTCCAACTGAGGCTATGTGATAGAGAGACTCTCTCCCCCTACTCCTGTAATTTCTCCTTCATTTTCTCCCTTCTTTTATCATAGTTTTCTTATTTATCTTCCCAGAGCCTTACTTAATATTATCAAATGACATTCTCTGCAGTCAGTCAGTATTTTAAGCTATTTCTATTTTTTATAATATTCTTTCTTACTCAGATAGGAAAAAATGGCTGTCGGGTCTCTGTTTTGTTTTGTTTTTTTTTTAATCTCTGCAGTAATGTAATAGTATGTGTGTGTGTATAGGGTGAGATTTTATTTAGATACTGAAACAGTACTTTGAAATTCATCTTTGTCTTTTTAGGATAAATATGTCCTTGCAAAATATTTTAAGGCACTTGAAAATTCCAGACCAGTATCATTATACTTTTAAACCTCACATTTTGTGAAATGATTTTTTTCTGTATATTTCAGTGCCAATTCTAAAGGAAAATAATGTGTACATTTACAAAGTGAATGAATATTAACATTAAAAAGAAACCCCTCAACTGACACTGCAGCAAATTTCTGGTGCATGCACTTGCTATTGAATATATTTTCAAACCTAACATTGACTTTTTCATTAAAGAAAGGAGAAAGGAAAAAAATCCTGAAGTCGATCTTTTACTGATTTAAATGATAGCTTACCATAGGGTTGTCTTCAACATCAGCATCTCATTTTCTCCGGGAAACTTAAGCTTAGAGGTCGCCTTGTTCTGGAGAGTGGGAACCGCTTCTAGCTGTGGGCTCTGCTTGCCTGCTCAGCTGCATTGTGTCACTGTGAGCCGGAGCTCTGCAACCACCTGATCAGTACCACAGAGGAGAACTGCAGAGCTGTCATTGGTGCTGACTCAAATTTATTGCGAGAGGTGCACATGCAACAAAATGGACCAAAAAAAATTTTTTAAGGTATACCATTGACTGTACCTATATATCTCAGATTTGCTGTAGGATGGAGTACCTCAGCACATTAGACCTGGCCCTTACTCATCTCTGTATTTGTCTGAGCTTAGACTCCACATTTTAACATTTGCCTCATGAAGAATCTGTTGTTCTTTTAAATGCCTCTACTCTTCATTCTTCTAACATGTTGAAAAATACTGAAAATGAATTTGACCTTCCTTGTGGATGGTTTTTTAAGACACTTACTTAATCCCTGCCTTTATGTTCTTCTAAAATGGTACAATTCTCATGTCACTTTTTAAAATAAAGTAATTCAATCTGTTTGATTTTTATGTACTCCCTCAATATGGTGATAACTATGTATAATCAGCTTTTCAATTTTATCAACCACTTAAATGTTCATTTTCCTTTTTGGGAAGTACAGAAGTACTGAAATATGATTATTTTATCTTTATCTTTCTGATGCAAAGGATCATTTGACCCAGACTGCATCCAAATGAGGCTACATTTTTTTTTTTTATTAAGGTATCATTGATATACAATCTTATGCTCAGGTTTCACATGAGCAACATTGTGGTTACTACATTCCCCCCCTATTATCAAGTCTCCCCCACATACCCCATTACAGTCATTGTCCATCAGTGTAGTAAGATGCTATAGAGTCACTACTTGTCTTCTCTGTGCTATACTGCCTTCCCCGTGCCCCCCCATATTATATGTGCTAATCATAATACCCCTAAATCCCCTTATACCCCCCTTCCCACCCACCCTCCCAATCACTTTCCCTTCCATATAACTGTTAGTCCATTCTTGGGTTCTGTGCTGTTTTGTTCCTTCAGTTTTTGCTTTGTTGTTACAGTCCACAGATGAGGGAAATCATTTGGCATTTGTCTTTCTCCACCTGGCTTATTTCACAGAGCATAATACCCTCCAGCTCCATCCATGTTGTTGCAAATGGTAGGATTTGTTTTCTTCTTATGGCTGAATAATATTCCATTGTGTATATGTACCACATCTTCTTTATTCATCTACTGATGGACACTTAGGTTGCTTCCATTTCTTGGCTATTGTAAATAGTGCTGTGATAAACATAGGGGTGCATATGTCTTTTTGAATCTGTAATCCTGTTTTCTTAAGGTAAATTCCTAAGAGTGGAATTCCTGGGTCAAATAGTATTTCTATTTTTAGTTTTTGAGGAACCTCCGTACTGATTTCTACAATAGTTGAACTAATTTACATTCCCACTAGCAGTGTAGGAGGGTTCCCCTTTCTCCACATCCTAGCCAGCATTTGTTGTTGTTTGTCTTTTGGATGTTGGCCATCCTAACTGGTGTGAGGTGATATCTCATTGTGGTTTTAATTTGCATTTCTCTGATCATTAGTGATGTGGAGCATCTTTTCATGTACTGTTGGCCATCTGAATTTCTTCTTTGGAGAACTGTCTGTTCATATCCTCTGCCCATTTTTTAATTGGGTTATTTGCTTTTTGGGTTTTGAGAAGACTATGTTTTTATTTGTTTGTTTTTGGTATAATTAATGTACAATTACATGAGCAACATTATGGTTACTAGACTCTCCCCATTATCAAGTCCCCACCACATACCCCATTATAGTCACTGTCCCTCAGCATAGTAAGATGCTGTAGAATCACTATTTGTCTTCTCTGTGTTGTACTCCTGAGAAGGCTACATTTTTAAATGAGCATCTTACTACTTTTAACGTGGTAAAATAAATGTGGTTAATTTTATTTCTTTGGTTAGGATTTATTTATTTATTAAGTTTTCTTTTCTTCAAGAAACTTACTTTGTTTAGTGAGTGGGAGTATTGCTTTCTTCAGAGACATATATATAGGAATGACCATTTGTTATGTTTTAAAAATAACAGCATCAATTTTAGGCTATTTCTTTAGAATGTTTAACATTTTTTCTTACTGAGAAAGCAATTTATAGTTTTTAAATTGCATGAAATAAGGTAAAAAGGAAAACTTTGTTCATGAGTTTTATAAAATGAGACCAGATTTAGGATAGCTTCTGTTCTTCTCTTTAGTGGACTGACTGTGTAAATAATCTGTTAAAACTCAAATCTAATTTCCAGAATTTCTATTCACCTTAGAAAAGAAAGCAGATAGAGTCTTGGCATTTTCAGTACCAAATTGCTACCATTTAAAACCAGCAATTATTAACATATTAGGTCTAAGAAAATTCTCGTTATGTCTAGTTACTGAATCCTTTGTTTTTCTCTAAGTTACATTTGCCATTATTTTACCACAGATTTGTACCTCAAAGATAATTTTTTGCATTAGAATTTGAAGTGTATTTTCTTAGAAAAGAAACTATCCTCTAGGAGTCACCTTTTGTATAAAATTAATGTTCCTCAAGAAGTATCTACGTTGTAAAAAGTCTGTAGTGTTAGAAATTTATTATTGATTAGGTGCTTTATTACCACTTTACTTTGAGGATTCAGCCTTGGTCTCTTATTAAGATTCTTTCAATGGATTTCAGAAACCAGTCATCAATCTTATGACTTAAAAGTAATGTGTTAAAAATAATACACTAAGCAATATTATTGTGGAAATAGAGAATTATTGTTTTGACATTTAGATTTCTTCTATTTCAGCTCATGTATATGCTCTTACACTTCAAGGGATATGAATGAGAGTAAATTTAAATCTTTTAATTTTAGGAAGTCTCATTACATCAACATGCAAGTAAATAAAGAGCTATCCAGTTTCATTATACTTATCAGTACTTTTGTTTTAAAGAAACATGTTATTTCATTAACTAATGAATTCAAGTAAATTTGGGTTTAGGCTTTATTGAGATTAGGTTCTGCTGTGTATGATAGAAAATTCCAACGTAATAGCAGTGGCAGTGTTTCTCATTTCAGGTTTGAGGACATACCAAGTTGCTTCCTATTATTCAAAGATTATTGTAAAATTCTCAAAAAGAAAAAAAGGGAAATTTTTAATGTATTTAAACTGTAATAATCTGTCCTTATCTTGTGCTTTTAGAAATTCTATAAAAAATTAATAGTACATTACTGTTACTCCAAAAAATAATTTTTATGGGCTTAAATATTTGTTACAATTTATTTTAGATATTACTTAGACACATTACATTTTAGGTAATTCTGTCAAGTCAAGAATTACAGCTCTTTAAGGCAACTATTATATTCTAGACTAAGCAATAAATTCACTTACATATTCTTTTGTGTAACACACTGTCCTAGGATATATTACCCCAACATTGTGAAAAGTGTAATAAATCACCTGCTGTGGGAACAACTATTCCATGTTAATCAACAGTTTGGAAACCTAGTTTATCTTTATTTCTTAAGTTGATAACGTTTGTTGTGCCTATTTGAGTAAAAGTTATGGTACTCTCTCTGTTTGGTATTATAGTGAGCTATTCATATTGAATTTCCTGCTAAAAACAACAGAGTACTGAATAAAGGATTTTAAAAGCATGGAAGAACTGACAAGATAGAAATTACCAGGTCAAAATCCAAGTGGATCAGTCTCTTCTCCCACCTCCCCACCCCTGTTATCCCCATGCCACTGGTATGTTGCCAAAACTCAATCACTTGTTCACTAGTGTCTCTCATCTGGATTTATCTGTTTGCTTTCTTGTGAAGATTTAATTTGTTTGTCTCTCCCCATATTTCCTATAAATGGTTCCTAACAGCATTAATATAATTGCTTATTTGTATCATCCTACAATAGTTTCAAAATAATACCCATATTGCTACAGAAAATTAGATTATAGACTACTGAATAAAGTTTAAGAAATCTTTGCAGCTCTGTTTGTTTTTAGAACATATTTCACCAAGGATGTGTAATCAGTTCTGTGTTCTAGTGCAACTTGAAATAGCTGTTTTCTCTATGTGTTTATATCACCAACTTTATATTAGGTTCATTTGTTTTACTAGTTACCAATTTTTAAAGACTCCTAAGTCAAAACTTTCTAGCAAGGTATAGTCAGACAAACCTTGTTTGTCTGTCCTCTCCACCCTAACCCTTCCTTCTCCTTTTGGTGACTATTTTTATTAGCTTTTGGTAGTATCTGAACAGTATTTCTTTTTGCAAACATACAAAAATATGTGTGTATTATGTTGTTATCCCCCTGCTTATATAAAAGGTTGCACACTAAACATATACTTACACATCTTTTTTCTTTGATAATATATCTTGAAGATCACTCCATATCAGTATATAGGAATCTTTCACATTCATTTCATGATTCATAGTATTCCATTTGGAAGTGTACCATGGTTTATTCAATCAGTCCCCTATTGATGGACATCTGAGGTGTTTCCAGATTTTTGATATTACAAATAATGCCACAGTGAATACCTTTGCAACTAAATAATTTCATACATCATCCAGTGGATCTTTTAAAAAGGTCTGTAGAAGTAGGATTGCTGGGTAAGAAGGGTAAATGCATTTGGAATTTTTTGGGTACTGCCAAATTCCTCTTTATAGACTACTGTTTTGCAGTCCCACCAACAATGTATCAGGGTGTCTAGTTCTGTTGAGCCTCATGGTAGACTTTGTTGTTAGACTTTTATTTATATAAATCTGATAGGTAATAGTATCCAGTGTACATTTAAAATGTATCTCTTATTTTGAGGAAAGTTGTATATCTTTATATGTTTGTAAGGACAATTTAAATTTTTTCTTCTGTGACTATCTTTTATGTTTCTCACATTTTTTCTATTGTGGGGACCCCCATATTTAGGAGTTTTTTTAATTTTGACTTCAGAAATACTAGCCATTTGTTTTAAGCCACTGATTTTTCTCTCCAGTTTACCATTGTCTTTGGCCTTATTATGGTGGGGTTGGGTTTTTTGAACATTTAAAAAATTTATATCATTGGATTTTTATTTTTAGTCTCAGCTAAGAAGGCTTATCCCACTTCAGATTATAAAGTAATTCACTCATATTTTCTTCTAATATTTGAATAATTCAGTATTTTATATTATATATTTAAATGTTTGGTGTTTATTCTGATGTGGTGTGAAGTACATATCCAGTTGTCACAATATTTTTTCCCACTGATTTGAGTCTATTTCTGAACTTTCTATTCCGTTCCATTGATCTATCTATCTTATCATGTACCAGTATTACAATGTTTTAATTATAGGTCCCCAAATACTTTGCTACCTTATTTTTTATCAGAACTAGGGTAATAATAACAACTACAGGTCACTCTCATCTAAGTCATTGTGTCCCTCACCACCAACACCAGTGAAATACACGTGCAGTATATGTATGTTGCATTGCATGAAGTAGATGCTCTTTGGTCCAATGTTAGTGAAAAGAATGCTGAAAGGAATCAGGAAACAAACTCAGTTTTTAGTACCATTTCTAAGCAAGTTGCTTATTCTCTCTGGGCCTGTTTTCTCAGCAGTTAACTAATAAAAGAAGTTGAACTAGATGGCCTTCACAGTTGTTTCTGGATCTGTTTAATGCTGATCTGGTAAGAGCACCACTGGTATGTGGTAGGTAGTTTAGTCTACTTTTTATTCCTCTGTTCCTTGTCATGAATATGTGCCATATTCATGATATAAACATTCACTTCTGGATCTTGGTTTTTAAATCTTTTCTGTAGGTTCTTCTTTGTTCCAGCATTTTCTTTGCTCCTGTATTTCTTTTATTATTTCTTATTTCTTCTGCTGATTAAGCAAGGATTGCTACGATTTGGCTGCTCAGCTTCCACTGACCTCAGTGGGGAAAAATTGCATGTAGTAAATGGGAATTATTTTTCCCCCTGGCAGAGAATTTCTTAAAAAACAAAAAAACAAAACCAGCTGCTGACAGTAGTCTGTTCTTCTGTTGAACAAAGAACAGAAGGAGAAAAGCTGCCTGTAGTGTTTAAAAAAATCAGACAAGAGTATGACCAGCTCAACAGCTCCTGATTTATCTATGAGAGCTGGTATTTCCCAATACCCTTCCTTAAGAGGTCAGGAAAGAAAGTGATAAAAAGAAGAGAAAATGTGGAAAGAGCTTCTTAGGTAACATTTTACATGAGAAAAGTTATGATGATTGAAGGCATGTCCAAATTTTGACCAAATATAAAAACATATCTTATTTACCCTAACTAGAGTACTTACAATTCAAAAGAGTAACAGGAAGTTCTTCAGTTCCTTACTGCTGCTTGGTAAATTAACCAGAAAAGTGCTGTTTGAATAACACATGAAAGAAGGCTTTTAATGTGGAAGATAGAAGAGAACCAATGCCATATGCCAATAAACACCATGCTTATTCAGAAAAAATAAGAAGCTCAAGGAAGTGTTTCTGCAAATAAAAACTTTTAACAGTCATTAAGTGATTAGCTTAAAACATTTAAAGAGAAACATTGTATATATAAACTTGCAATATCCAAAAGCCTCTAGTTTTTATTCAAGATGGAACTTTGTTAATTTTTGAACACCATTACTACAAATAAATACTATATTTTGTTCTAAGAAATCCCCAAACTATGAGAGGTTCTTAAAGGTTAAGCTACCAGTAAGGCCACCACAGTTCATTCTCAGTGATTGTTTCCCTGATGAGGGAGGTGGGTAGTAAGGAGGAGGAGTATTATGTGTTTGTTGGGCAGAGAAGGGCTTCTGTGGGCACAGGCTGGCATGCTGTACAAGCACAGACTGAGGAGTACTCTCCTCCTTGTCTGTACAAGGATCGGCCCACCCCTACTCCAATAACTCAACATGTACCACTGTCAGGTAACAGGTGAAAGATGAAATGCTGCATAAGAAAGGTGGGTTTTTTGGTGTTTTTTTTAATCCAAAATGATTATTTTATTATAGTGATGGTTATCTCATGTCTTATTTTATAGTCTAATTTTTGCTTACATCGAGGAAAGCCATTGATTTTTATATACTTTCTTATATCCATTCCTTATACAGTAATCTCTTGTTGCTTATAAGAATTTTTTTTTTTGGTGTCATTAATCTACAATTACATGAAGAATATTATGTTTACTAGGCTCCCCCCTTCACCAAGTCCCCCCGCCACAAACCCCATTACAGTTGCTGTCCATCAGCATAGTAAGATACTGTAGAATCACTACTTGTCTTCTCTTTGTTGCACAGCCCTCCCCATATCCCCACACACACATTATACATGCTAATTGTAATGCCTCCTTTCTTTTTCCCCACCCTTATCCCTCCCTTCCCACCCACCCTCCTCAGTCCCTTTCCCTTTGGTAACTGTTAGTCCATTCTTGGATTCTATGATTCTGCTGCTGTTTTGTTCCTTCAGTTTTGCTTTGTTCTTATACTCCACAAATGAGTGAAATCATTTGGTACTTGTCTTTCTCCACCTGGCTTATTTCACTGAGCATAATACCCTCTAGCTCCATTCATGTTGTTGCAAATGGTAGGATTTGTTTTCTTCTTATGGCTGAATATTATTCCATTGTGTATATGTACCACATCTTCTTTAACCATTCATCTACTGATGGACACTTAGGTTGCTTCCAAGAAAGGTGGTTTTTAAGAGCTCAAATGTATAGTGTCAGAAAGTGTGAGTTCAGTGAAAGTTGGGAACCATTTGTATTTTGACACAATCTGTTTACCCAGAGAAAAATAATCATCCAAATTTGGAATGAAGCCAAAAAGTTTTTTTTTCCCCTTTATATAAGATTTCATTTGTTTGGGTTTTTAAGGTATGTAAAGACAAAACTTTTTAATGGGGCTAGTTTTAAAATTTGTACTTCCCCAACAAGATAAGCAAATGTCTACATGCTATAGTACATGCTCCTGTTTTTATTCAGAGTGAAGGTCCCCAACCAACCCCCCATTTTGGTGTTTTAATTTGTTTGTTTTACTGTTTTCCATGAGAGCTAAAAAGGATATTTCTCTATTCTCAAACATGCATTTTAATCTCACATCCACACAAACTTGGAACATTTATTTAATATACCTGAGGGATTAATTTAAAACTTAGACTGTATATTTAATTTCTCATTTCCCCCACCTCAAACTTTGAAATGGAAAAATAGAATTTTATTTATTCAAGGTAACTTTATTCACGGCTTTTCAAGAAAAAAACTATCTACTGGGTGATATTAAATATATGTAGACTTTTGTTTCCAAACTGGTTGTTTTTGACATCCATCCACCTACATAAAATGTACTATACATTAAAGTTAGGTACTATAGCCAGTATATAGATCACTATTACATAGTTTTTAAAAATAAGTTCCACGTATGCACATGAGCTTTGAGCAGATTTCAGGTAGTTCCTGAATAAAAATCAGAATTGGCTACCAGTTACCAGTGAATATATTTCATCATATGAGTAAAACAAAAGATGGAATCCTTTAAGGACAGAAAAGCAGCTAAAAAGCAAGTTGTAGTATTTATAATAATTCTTCAGGTGGGGGTGGCAGGGATTCATTGAGATCTTGATCAGAGTCAAGAGGAATAGAGAACTGACACTGGGTCTCCTTGTTGGAATCTTCCTGGTTTTTCATAAAATCTTCTGGTGCCAGGGGCAAGTTAAATGAGTCAGGGGGAGGTGGAAATGACTCTTGGAACTCGGAATTATGATCTTCAGAGTCTTGATTGAGACAGTCCAGAGATGGGAGTTTGGTGGAATCACTTGGAAGAAGAGATAACGTCATTATGTCAGATTGGTTGCTCTCCTGTCCTTCCAAGTCAAGAAGGGGAGGAGGTGGTGGAGGCAGATCTGCATCGTCTGAAGAGGAAATGGCAGTGCCAATTGTTGATCCACCAGCACTATCCTCTGATGTACCATTTGCTTGATCTTTCATTTTCTCTGTTTTGGGGTTGTTTGAATCTTCAATGTTTTCACTTGATTCAAACAACTTAATTTCTAAGTCATCTGCTGAAACTGTGCTTTTGCTTGGTTTCCAGGCCATAAGTGAAATAATTGATGTACGTTTTGTGGGCACTTCATTTTCTCTAATGTTATCCGAACATATGTCAGGGGTTTCACCATCAGCAAATGGAGACCTACCTGCCCAATTTTGATCATTTAAAACTGGTTTTCTCAAGCATTTCCATAGTATAATCATGATTATAGCTATCAACATAGAAGTCATAATTATACCAACTAATATGGCAGCTGTTGAATTAGACTTGGTTTTAGGTGGGCTCTTACTGCTACTAGTGGTTTGTAGGATGAATCCTGGTGTAAACATAGGTGAACTTTTGACATTTGGTGTTTGTTGTGTGGCTAGATTATGAATGGTTGGTGCTACTTGTTTACTAGAAGAGGTGTGGATAAATAATGGCTGTTGAGTGGAAGTGTAGATAAAAGGTGGCAGTTTTCTGGTAGGAGTGTGGGCAGATAGTGGTAGTTGGCTGGCAGAGGTGAACACAGGTAGTGCCATTTGTGGGGAGGAAGCACTGGCCATTGCTGTTGATTGCCTGGTGATGTTATAGGCAGGTAGTTGTCCAGCAGAAATATGTGGTGCTGGTTTTTCAGAAGAGGCAGCTGGTGTTGGTTGTCCAGTGACTGTGGCAGTTTGTATTAGTTGTTCAGAAGCAACGTTGTTGAATTGTGTTGGTTGACCCAAAGGATTCCCTGTTGTGTTTTGAGAATTAGTGGAGACATATGGTATTGGTGATCCCAATAGAGCAGACTGTGGTTGGTTCTCTGTTGTAGTTGCTTCTGTCTCTGAGAAAATTGTATCATTCAGGTATCCACAAAACAAAATTAAGATGAAGTACTTGAGATCCATTTCAGAATGTTTCCTCTTTACCAGTGGTTTTATAATAAAAGAAAGAAAGACAATTAGGCATCATTTGGTATCTGGAATAAAGTAGGTAGGTACTTGGTAAGTATTTATTGTTCCTAATTTAGACTTGATATACTGCAGGCTAATGTAAACAACTACTGGATATACTCTTAACTCATAGCATTCAGACCTCATAGGCAGTGATCTCTCTTAATTCTTTCATAAGATCAGTACTTGGCCCACCACCCCTCTAGTTTCATTACATTACAGTCCTTCATGTCAAACACATAGGCTATGTATGCTCGTACCCACATGCTCTCTACTTTTTTCTCCCTTTACTACCAGAAATATATTGATCCTGCTGCCTTGAAGGACACCAGTAACCATCTATTGTTACCTAACCCAATGGTCTTTCCTTCTTTCTCTTTCCTTCTTTCTGCTATTTTGACTACATTTGACATTATTGACTATTCCTTCATTATTATTTGAGTAGCTCTTTGAAAACAGTCTTCCCTTTATGTTACTCTCACTAACTTCTGTTTTTCTCTTGCCTCCTCAGTATGAGTACTTGATATTCAGTCCTCTCACTCTTTGCTCTTTTCTTTGATCCTAAATCTATAACACTTCAGCTCTCACCTTTATGCCGTAACTCTCAAACCTGTACATCCAGCCTATATCTCCTTAACTCTGATTGTATTTGCATGACTTCTTGGTGGACATTTCCATGTGTATACCCTACTATCAGCAAATTCAACATATTTAAAACAGAATTCATCTTCATCTCCCAACTTCTCTAATTTTGTCAATGGTACTACCTTTGTAAGTTTCTTATGTGCAGAGTGTGTTGTATTGGCAATCTTTGCAGCAGCATCACTGTCTAAGCACTGTGTCTTTATGTTAGGATCTCACATTTTTAAAGGATTCAGTTCAACTCAGAGTCCTAGGCTCAAAATCCTAAAGTGGTTGTTGACGCTGCTTCAGTCAGGCTTACCCATTTTGTCAAGTAGTCCTGCTGCTGGTTTCATTCATTTATTGATCAACACCATTGTTCTTGGCTTAGGAAATACAACAATGAAAGGACAGTTTCTAATGGTAGAACAAACAAGCTAATAATTTGGTAGGCTTTCTCATAAGGGTATGCACAGAGGAACTAACCCAGCCTGGGAGTGCTTCAGGGAAGATTTCTCAGAGAAGTAAAACTTGAACTGGATCTTGAAAGAGCTGTAAGAATTAATTAAGCAAATAAAGTATTTCAGCCAAGGGAACACTATACACGCATGGGGGGAAAAGGCATATGTATAAATTTGACAGGTAGGGCTTTTTGTGGGATACTAAAACTTGAAGAGTTAAGTTCCAATTTTACTTCTACCACCTAAATCATTTAATTTCTCCTGTTCTCAGTTGCCTTATCCCTAAAGTAAGGAGTTATACCAAGACAGTTTTCAGCTCTGAATGTAGCATACTTGTTTTGCACATCTTTAAACACAATAGTAACTATTTGGTTATTTTTAACATTAACAAATCTCATGTTGTTAGATCCTGGAGCATATGATCAGAAACTATAGTTTTCCTATGGTATGTAGGCCAAGCTGTGAGAGAGTTCCTGTTCTGTACAATAACAGGAGAAGAGGAACTCCTCAAGTTTTGCAAATAAATAGAATTTTTTAGCATTTATGAGTAATTTTCATTGCTTACACCTCTACCACTTGGTACAGTGAAGATAAGTTACCCTATGTTAGTAGAAGGAAAAACTTGATTTTTTTTTCCTGTATAGTGTCATCTTTTTTATTCTCCCTCTAATACTTCAAACCTAATTTAAAAATATTTCTCCTTTAAAATTTCCTGCACACCGCTGATGAATTAACCTTCTTAAAAGTGGATGTGATCAGGTTACTACTCCCTTGCATAACGGTTCCCCATTGCTGTCAAGATAAAAATTCTGAACTTTTTTTTCTTCTTGTTTGAGTTTGCCAGTCCAGTTCCTATCTCATGACTAAGACTTATTCAGCCAAATGCACCTCTTCCCCATCTCACATACTTTCCAAACACACATTTTTTTCCTTAACAGACACTTTTAATTATGCTGTTTTTCACCCTCTTTGAATGTGTTCTTTTTTCCAACCCAGCCTCTGACTGCCTATCTCTAGCTTAAATTCCCCTTCTTAAATCAAGTTCTCTGTGTCTGACCACAGCCCAGAGAGATCAGCTAACATTCCTTGAATCCCCCTAGTTCTTTTTGTCTTTATGCTTCCTTAGTTAATTCTTCAGACATGTACCTCGCTCACATTTCTGTTCTCTTAAATAGTTGTTTATTTCTTTTTTCTTAACGTCTCATGTTTTCTTTTTATTAAATGAAGATTATAAAGAACCTTTAAGACAGAAAGAAACAAAAAAATACTTACCTGGAACACACTAAGTATTGTACTGTCCCACATGTTTTACATACCTTATTTCATTTAACCCTTAAATGACTCTATGAGGAAGATGAAGTTATCCTTGACTTATAGATACAGAGACAAATTCAGTGCATCAGGCAATTTTCCCAATATTATATCTCCATTATTGACAGATTGGAAATTTATACCCAGGACTGTCTGATTCCAGAGTATATGCTCTTTCTACTACCCTAAACTGCCTCATGTTTTTTAATATTTTGATTCCTTTGTAGAAGAGTTCCATGTATGTTAGCAGCTTAGTAAGCATTTAACCTGTATTGGGCTTCTTGGTTCACTTCCATTTCACTTTCCTGTTTCTTAGTACTTCTACCAGAATGTAAGCAGAGAAAGTAAAATCAAAATTATTAAATTGTGCTTTTTATCCATTATCCAAAAAGGTTAAATAGAGAAAAAATTGGAAACTTTTTGCATAAATATGGGGATTTTAATCATCTCTAGATGGTTGGCATCCTGCAAGGCCTAGTATTCTTACAGATTATCCCCTGAAAGACCTCACTAGAAAGTGCCGTTCTTCAGAGTTTTGCTTTAGTTTTTAAAAAATGCCACCTAAAGCATTGGAAAATATAGGCCACAAATTGTCTTCAGTAAGAAATGTCTCCTTTTTTGTGACTTCGCTTAAATATTTTTAAAACCCACATACTGCTTCTTTTTAGTTTGCTAAAATAGGCATTAGGAAAGGAAAGAGCTCAAACAGGAACATAATTATAAACCCAGTTTAGTTTGTAAGATCAATTTTGGTAGGTTCATATCCTCTTTTATCAATAGGAAGGTCGTAGGATCTTCAGTGTATGGGATTTTCCACTCGTCATTTAAGGGTTATAGCAACATTAAAACCATTCCATCTTTTATCCTACCCCTTTCTCCCCATTCTTCAGTTAGCTGTCTACTCTTCTAGCATCTGCTACATCAGAATGCTAGAATCTGTGTTAGAATTCTGTAATAGCAATTCAGAAGAGTCTGAAAAAGAAGGAACAATTTAAAAGAATAAATAGTATAGCAGTGAAGAAACTAACTTTTCTAGCTCAAAGACAGTGAGGCCTGTGTTAGTACCAGTGATAAGTTTTTTTACCATATGTATTTTTAAAATATATAAACTGTGTGTACCTAAAGTGCCAACATTGTTTCTGCAGGTAAAGGTAGAAAGAACCATATGGGGCAGGGAAGTAAAAAGGCCAAGAAAAATGTCAGATAAGGTGAAAGGAAAAGAGAATACAAAGAAATACAAAATAATACAAAAGAGAAAAACAGAACAGAAATATAGTAAGCAGCAAGTACATGGAAAAGGAGAAGGTCAGTTAGCTAGAGAAGGTATTGAAAGGGAAAAAATGTAATAAAAAGCTGGAGAAAAAGTGGTGATATGTATGTAATCAACAGAAGTTAGGGTAGAAAATTAAAGTGGGCAAAATTAAAAAGAAGTTGGGGGAGAAGATGGACATAGGTGAAAGAAGGAGGCACACGATGCCGCTCTGTCTCTGGCCTATGTTTGTGGACGCAGGGAGCCCACAAACAGGAGCTCTCTTCCCGAGATGCAGGACTTGAATTGCCCATTTTCTCTAACTTACTTCCCTTCATTTCAGGCTCTCCTATCTGCTCTAAGTGTCCTTAAGATTCTCTTTCTTTAATTTTACCCCTGGCATACCCTGCTGATTACACTAAAGAATCTATGCACATTCTATATAGCATTTTTCTAGAAATCCCTTAGTCTGCTGCTTAGGCAAATCCCAAATTTGTCTACCCTCATATGGCACTATTTGGTTTATTATTTTCCACTGGCACTTTGAAATTTAAATCTTTGATACTGGTCTTTTGCTTTTCCTAAATATTTTTTAAAATTTTAAAAGAAGAAAAGTATCAGCTGTTTTAACTAAGCATTTAAAGAGCAGTTATAGTGAAACCAGAGTACATGTATTAGACATGTTCTCATAAATATAATGCATCAGTACACAAAGAATCCAGCATTTAAAATGGATGCTGTTAAGTTGGATATGATAAGAAATATGTAATTGCATTTTTAAGAGAATCAAGGAAATTCAGAGAGCACATCCAGATAAAAAAGGCAAGTGTAGGTAAGCAGTATCAAAAATAGTATCTGAATTTCAGTAAGGGTGATATAATAACTTACAATACATATATAATAGGTTAAAATTGAGTAGTAGTGTATGTCCAGCTAGTAAGGTAATGAAACCATAAAAGAAATAAAACAGCAGTTCCATACCTTGAGGAAAAGCAGAAAGAGACATAAACATTAAACTGTGATGGGAAGTATTTGATGACCATCTTTTTTCAACAATAATAGCTACCATTGACTGAGTACCCACCAAATGTTAGGTCCTTCCTATTTTAATGAGCAAGATGGTATTACCTTCATCTCATAGATAAAGAAACTGAGACACAGAGAAGTTGGGTAACTTGGCAAAGTGTTACGGCTCTCACTAGTGACACTAATACAGAAACCATGTCCATCTGCTACCGGAGCCCTTGCCTTCTATTACATGTCACCAAATTTGCTGTACCACCTTTCTTAGTAAAATAATGAAATGGGAATGCTTAATGAAGGAAGGAGATGTGAGCTCTTGGAACAGATATGTAAGTAACTTTTGGAGGTAATATGTAAAAGGTAGAACAAGAACTACCTGAAGGCCATTTAGTCCTGTGATTCTGTGAAAACCGTTATGGGAATTTTGAATGGTTAGCCTGTAAGCTGTCATTTTTGAGGTAATTTTTTAAAGATTGGACATTGAACGGCATCAGATTTATTTATGTTTAACAAATTCAAACTTACTCAGAATTCTTAATTTCCTTCTGAGTAGAATTATATAACAATTAGCTGAATAATACAGGTACTCTTAAACTCTAAATTTGGGACTGATCTTTTCAAAATATATAGATAAGTCTTGTCTAAAAAAGAGATAAAAATCTTTATTTTCTAACTTCTGTAATAGTTACTTAGAAGAAATCCGAAGTGGACTTCTGCAAGAGAAAATCATAAGTATTTATGAAATGTTGAAATCGGACATCATCCATTATGAATTACTCTGCGGTATTTCAAGTTTATATAAACTTTCTCTGCAGTTTTAATTTTGGAGGACATTTACTTTGTCATTGCCCACTTCACTCACAGACTAAGCATCTTTTGTGCATATTAGCAGGTTTCTATTGTTTACTCTGTGGCTATTTTTTCCTATATCTATTTTACGCTTTTTACTAAAGGCTCAGATAATAACATGTGAAATATGTAAATATACATAAAATATGCAGATCATATGAATGCATGTGCCCACATTTTATCATAAAAGTTTTGTTTTAGCTTTAAAAATGAGTGGTAATATTTTCATGTCATTGTTATCACTAAAAGATTCAATTTGTGTAAAGCATGAAGCATATATATAATAATGATAATTGAATGCCTCATCTAGTCTCCTTTGGTTTCTTTTTAAATTAAGCAGAGGTGAAGGTGACCTCTTACTGTGGAAACTAAAGGGAATTTAAAAAAATAAAAATTTAAATCTATGGATTATGTTATGTACAGAAAAATTTATGGGAAAGATATCACAATATTTAACAGTTGGTATTTTGGAGTTGTAAATTCAGTCATATCCCATGTATTCTAGTTTTATTTCTAACCTTTGGTTTTATCTGCCATGCTATAGTTTATTTCTCTTAATTACAGAACTAAGGTTAGCAAACACTGTGACTGAATAAACTTAAAAGGGCTTATATTATACAAACCTAGGTGAAAAATTTCCCCAAGGCAAGCTCAACACTGAACAAAACCACAAAACCTGTTACACACATCTTTAAAATATAGAGTTTAAGTTTAAACCACTAACGACATTTTAGTTGTAAAAATAAATTTTGTATAAAGCAAAGATCAAACCAGATTGCCTGTGTGAAAATTTTCTTACCTCAGCTGTTAACTTCTTTTGCGGAAGGCTAAATTCTCACTCTAACTGCACATTTTGGTGATTTGGCTAAGAAAGCAAAAGGGGTGGTTCAATTCAGATTAAAAATGGTCCTCTAGCAAACTGAAATGGATTCTGTACAAAAAGAGGAAGTTTATCAATAGTTGGTTCCGGAAGTGCAATAAGCCACAAAATGACTAAGAAATGTACTACTTTAACAGAACTTATTTTGAAACACGATTTGGAGCTATATGATTTGAGTATTTTTAATTAATGTTTGTAAGTAAACATATGAGACTCTCTAGTAATGTGATTATAAAATTTATTTAGAATAGAGCTTTGAAGAGAAATTGATTCTAAGGGAAAACTGCCTTTAGAGGGTTATTACGTGTAGTTAAGATTTCTTTTCGTAAGAAGTGAATGATGTGTTCTGTTTACTCGTATGACCTTAGGCAAGTCATTGCACTTTTGAGTCAATATTTCCTCTTCTGGAGGTATATTTCCCTTACTGAGTTGTGAGGCCTAAATAAGATAATACATATAAATGCTTCACACACAGTAGGTGGCCAGTAAATGTTAATGTTATTTCCTCACGTGTAATTTAGGCAAAGCCCAGGTAAAAGTATAAATTAAGATTTTTTTTGACCAAATTCTTTACTAACTTATTTTTGAGTTCAAGTGCACAACTCTTTGATTACCTACAAAGTAGGTACTTCTCTGTGGAAAGTAAAATAAATTGAAATCTTTTAAAAAATAGATAACTAAGTGAAGCATATTAAAAGAGTGAATCATTCTGTATAAAAATTCCTTTGAACAAGTCACCTTCTAGCCTCTTTCCTCATCTGAAAAATGAAATCATAGTTCCTAATTTATAAACTTATTATGGGATTTAATGTATAGTAGCTAGCAAAGCACCTGTTACAGTAGGTTCAGTAAGTATTAAACCATCTCCTGCTTTCCCCTAGTCACTGCAGAGGAACAGAGGTTATCAAGGCATAGTTCTTCATTTCAGAGTACTTATAAATTGGTACAAAAATAATAGTTTCTTTAAGAGGTCCTACTCTAAAGCAGAATATAATGCTATAAACTTTGGCTCACTATTTTAAAATCCTGGAATTAAGTGTGTTGATTATAATATCTAGGGGTAGAAAACAAAAGTGTCTTTGTAAAAAAATAACTTGTTAAAATCTTAATTCAAAACATATCTTAACCTGTCATCTTTAAACACTTATCAAGGAACCACTTCTGTTTGGTCATGAGCTATCATTGGATGGCATCATTCTGAGGGTGTATGTTTAATAGTCAAGATGGTGAGTGATGAATTGTAAATATTCCTGCAGTGTTTGACCCATATACTTAATATGAAAGCAGTTCCCTAGTTAATTTCTTATTTTTAAGAAGCCACTACTTTGTTTTAATTTCCTCTGAAGAGTATTTATGACACTTGAGTCAAGGACTGCTTTGTGTTGTCACTACTTGTTCTAGTACACAATCTCAAGTTTTCAGTTTGCGCTAGACAGGAGCTCTGCCAAGTTTCATTTACAGTCTGGTCCTTTTTACCCCTCAAAAGATAACCTGATGTCACCTTAGTTGGCATAAGGATTCTCTTGCTTTCCTTTTTACTTTGTTGACATTTAGCATTAACTGGAATAATATAATTATGATATATTGTTTAAGGAATGGATTTTTTTTAACAAATTGGTAATAAACTGTTAAGAGGTAACCTAGATCTTTGAGCCATGGAACTTAAGTGAATTGATGATTGAGAGCAGTATCACTAGGGAATTATTCAGAAATTACCAATGCCTGGAGCTCATCCTGTTCCTGTTAAATTAGAGGAGAGGGTGGAAATTAGGCATTGGTGAATTTTTAAAACTCCTGAGGTGATTGTGATACTCAGCCAGGATGAGAACCACTAACCTAGAAAGGAGAGTAAGGTTATGGTCATACTTGGAAAAAAAGAAAATAAAATCTTTCCTTAAATGGCTAGCATATTGCCCAGAATAAATGCTCAGTAAGGGTGAGATTTTTAAAATTAATGAGTATGGCCTTATCCATTTCAGTACATATATATAGTTGGGAAGTCTCAGACCAACTTCTGTAGTATATTTAATTGAATATGTAAGTGTTGATTTAAATGTAAATCATTATTTTACTTGAATCTGATTTCTTTAAAGGTTAAACAATTACCTGAACAAGCACACACACATACACATCTTTTCTTTGTTCATGTCACAGTCGATAGTAAAAAAATTAAATTGGTCATTTATTAGGCCACTTGGCATCCTGAAGTCCAAAAATTAATCAGCCTTTGGATATTTGCTATAAATAACCCAGTAAGCAGTATTTATGGAATAGAGGTGTGTTACACTTAAACAGTAAGATATGCTTTACAGTTATACTCAGTCTTCTGGTGAGGCTGTAAACCTCATCTGTTTCGGTTATGCTCCATTTCTTATTGATCTTCATGGTGTTCTCTAAGATAATGATGTGAATGCAGATATACAGTCAATTTTATTCTAACAAATCTTAATTTATTATACAAAATTAAAAGTTTTAATTAAATATTTATAGTAGAAAAACAAGTGTGCCATAGTTAAGATTAAAACATCTAGCATAAAATTAGCTGTATTGATATGTGAGCTGGTACGGATCCCGTCGTATTCAGCTGACAAGTACCATTGAACTATACAGTTCAACTCTATGCATTAATAACTTGACCTCTGTTAGATGTTGAAGCATATACTTGCTCCTAAGGGCATACTGTGAAACTCTTCAAAGTTAAATTACATTCAGACAAAGATCATCTGACTACTATTGTTGAACAGGAACTACTTAATTGTCCCTTTCTACTTCTCTTAGTTCCTTCAACTAGTCTTTAAAACCTTTCCCAAATGGTAGATCGTTTTATTATTTGCTTTTTAAAATATTCAGTGTCAGACCTAAAACACACAGTTTAAGTAATTAAGTAGGCAGGCCTACTTCTGTCCTTCTCACCTGCTTGGTTCAGATCGCAAGCCTGCCATCTCAAATTTTAGACATCAGACCAACCAACATGTTGGCATTAAATATCACGCTGACTTCATTTTTACTTCATAAACTGTCTCATTGCTGCTTTGCATTTTTCTTCACTAAAGCATCTCTTAGTTAGTGAGCTTCTCGGCTCCTTCTTCATCTTTTCTTTCCCTTGTAGCTGTGAGCACTCCAGTAGATTGCATCATTAGGCTGGGGCCTGTGAGCTGCTTTGCTCTTTTCCAAGTATCTGATTCAGCAGGCCAGAGACCACTGCTTGCCAGAAAATCACCATTGCTTCTAGGCTGACGCTTGCCTACTTGTTTTGATCGTCTGAGAGATGAGACTTTGTTTGCCAGAACCACAGTTGATAGAAACAGAAGGGTACAGAGAAGAAAAAGCACTGCAATTATAATTAAGCAAACTAGCATAGCCATTTTGTTGTTCTCCTCACAGGAATCTTTTTTGAAAATTTCATTGTGGTTATTGCTCGTGTTTTTGATGCTCTGTACTGTTGGAGAACAGTTCCGGAAAACGGAAGGTATATGAAGCTCCAGATCAGATTTAGGAGTTAAAGATACGATGTGGGATGATGATGCTATTTCAGGCATGTTTGTAGAATTACCTTTTTTATCTGCTTCAGGAGTTGTAGGGTTTGCGTTAAGGTTTTCATTTTGGTGTCTGCCTGTCTTATTTTGAATATCTGGATCCCAGACAGTAGTGTTGTGAGCCCACAGATGGCTATAGTTTGCTTTTGTTCCAAGAGACAAAGAAAAAACTGTTGTCATCAGAAAGGCAAGATGCAGGTAATGTCTTATGTGGTCCATGTTCATGAATATACTGGTACTCTGTTGAAATAGTAATATAATCTGTTAATTTGTAAAAGAATAATGGTTCTTAGTTTTGGTAATTGTAGTTGAAAGATACTGATTGTTACAAGTAAGTTACAAACTGAAGCCTAACATTTGCTATCCTGTTTAAATTCATTCTCAACTGATTTTTTTTTCGATTAGGCTATATATAAAGAAATGATTTAATTTCTGTTATTCCTTTAAGTGGTAGAAGTTAACATTACAAATAACTGTTAATCATTGTAAACTGAATACCATGGTTTTCTCCTCAAGCATGTTAAACTTCGAGGCAGATACTTCTGCTTTTACTTTTTGGATTCCTCCTTTTTTTTTTCCTGACCAGTAAAGGATTCTTTTTGCAGAAACTCCCCACCCTCTAACAAACGTGTCACCAATCTTCATAGTAAAAGAGGAATGTGGCCTTGAACATTTTGCTTCATGTATGAACAGAAAATGCAAATGGCGTTTTGGGGTTTCTTGTTTTTAGTTGGGAAAGGAGAAGTGTTGTGGCAACCAATAGAAAATGGACTTGAAGTAAGAATTCATGGGGTCCTGTTTTCTTCTTGGGTGTTATTTTATCTTGAAGCTTAGAATAAAGCTGATATTTGTGAAAACAATTTTATGGTGGTGGTCCTGTCTTTTCACTCCTATGTCCCCTGACTTATTGTGGATTTCTGAAAGCAAAGGCATGCCAGTTTTCTCAGCCTAAAAATCTGGCATTAAAAGAAAGAGGCAGATATCTTCTGAATAATCTCAAAAGTTCAACAAGAATTATTTACTCTTTCCATCATTTATGGCTAATGTTGTATATGAATATTATGACATAATTTCTAAAAAGAAATTGTACAATAAAATAGACATAGAGCTTCAAGATCATGGGGATTTAGACTGAAGTGGGAAGTCAAAGCAGATTAGAAGAGACTCAGCATATAAATGAAGAAGTCGGATTTCAGTTTTGGCTCTGAGCTCCCTAGAAGCCAGTACAAAAAGGGGACAAGTTGGTTCCTAATTTTCATTATTAGCCATATGATTGAAGATTAAAATAGAACTGGCATATCTGTTCCAGGTATTGGTAAACCAGCAGGAAAGATTCAGCACCATTATTGAGCTCTCTTTTAACGTTCTAGTTTGACCTATTTTTTGTTAGAGCATTTTGTTGTTAGCACTTATTTGAGGGAACTAGAAGCAAAAACTAGATTATTCTCCTGAGATTTACTAAATGAAATTGCCTATTTAAGAACCTTATTTATTTTATAGAATTTTTCTTGAATTTGTGCATAGGAGTCTTTTTTAAGTACAGATTCTGATTCAGTAGGTCTAGGAGGATATTTGTATACTATCAATATACAGATTGAGAATAACAAAAGTGATATGTTATATAAACAAAAGCACATAATAAACAAGGCTAACTGGAAACTAACCTCTGATGTGACATTTTTTATTAATAGGGAGGGGAAAAACTATTATATGTTTTAGAATTAAGATTATTTTTTGGATTTGATCTTTAACATATCGTTACAGATATTTTGCACGGACTTTTATATAAAAGAGCTCAGCTTCTATTTTTAGGTTGAAGACACATCTGTGGATACTCGATTCTTTCATAAAGAAAAATACTTTAAATTGAGGTAGCAAGTCCTATATGAGACTGGACTTCTGCATTAGATGCTAAAATTATTTAAAGTGGGTTATTCTTGTCACATTAGTTTGTTAACAGTGTAGTATACATCGTAGTATTCATACACATTTTTCCAGTGCTTACCCCGGGGTAGATAATAGGCCTGCTGTTGATTGTCTTCATCCAGAGGTACTGTCATCCCCAAATAAACAAACTGTCAACAAAATGAGACTTTCTTACCCTTACAAATGTCTGAGAATAGAGCAGTGTTTCTACATCCCTAATTTATGCTATGGAGGCCAAGTTATGTTGTCAGTTTTCTTTATCTCTGATCATTTTCAATAAAATTTCAATGCCTAAGCATTGAGGCACTTCTGTTTTTTTTTTAATAACAAATACAATTTTCCAAGTCACTGTCCTTCCTAACCCTAATTTAAAACTCTGTTGATGGTAAATCTTTATATTTCTAATTTAAATTCTAGGACAGAGAGAAACAGCATACACTCTCAGTCCTTCTGATTCTACTTTGTTAGTAAGATTCTTAGCTTCTGTTAGAAAGCACTTCCTTGAACACCAAACTGTACGAAATTGTAAATGAAAGGCATAAGAAAACCATATATATGACCTACCTTACAAAATGCTTGTCAAGATCTGATTATAACCTGATTTTAATAAGCCACTTCTTTTCTTGTCTTGAAGCACAGCTTCCATGTAACTTACAACATAACAGACTTAGAGATCATGAACCTTAAAAGTAAATCTGCAGTAAAAAAGGATATGTACGGCTAGCTTTCCAGTTTTAAAACCAAACCACAGATGACACATTTCCTTTCCACTGCAACTAAAGCACATGTCACAGGGGAAAAAAACAAAAAAACAAAAGCTCTAACTGGTCTAATCAGCCATCGGCCTGACTGGAGGCTTTGTGGAGCAAATCCCCGCCTCCAGGGCAGGGAGGGTTTTCTGCTCAACGCCTTTTGACATTATGCTCATTATTTATGCCTGCTGTATGCTTTTGAATGATACATTAATTAGTTTCACTTAGAAGAAGATGAAGTGGCATTTTCCCTGCAGCATTCATGTCTTCACTAAAAATTTTATTTGTGTATCACAGACTGTTTGATAACATGAGTTTGGAGACCTGGAATATTGGTCAGATAATAGCAACCGCGTTATGTATGTGTCATCCACATCTCAAATTGTGGAACTGCAACAATTTGGGAAAATACCTAGTAAACTTAGATTATATGGGACAGATAATACTTTTGTGTAGTTGAGTGTGTACACACACACACATTCTCCCCTCAAATGTCCTGTCATGGTCTCATATACAGTATGTCTAAAATAGACTTCATTTTCTCCCCCTAAGTGTCTGCCCCTTAAGATTTGTTTGTTTTTATTCATGATAGCAGCATTCTTTGTAATCTCAGAGGCTTGATATACAGCAAGTCTTTTTAATTCAAGCCCTTTCTTTGGGCCCTGATTAGACCTTGGATCCCATTGGTCCTTCCTTCATATTCTTGAATCAGTTTCTTTTTTACTGTTACCATTGTGACAGTATCATGTATCACCATGTATGATCCTTATTAGGTCATACCTAGACTGCAGTATATTTTTACTAGCCCTGATTCCTTCATATATCTTGTATATATCACTTCCTTTGAGTGTATCACCTTTTTTAAAAAAGGTAAAGTTGAATGACTGCCTCATGCCTACAGCAGTGATTCAGAGATATTTGTGCACATAAATATCAGATGGGAAGGTTGTTTAAAAATAATGAAAATTGCCAGGCCCCACTGCATAGGTTCATATGTATGTAGTAGGTCTGGGCTGGAACTAGGAAACTGCATTTTTATTAAGCACCGCACTGATTTTCGATGCCGGAACTCCACAGAAGATACTCTGAGAAATACCAAGCTCCTAGGAGAAAACCTGAACTCTTTGGTTGAAAAGTTTTAGTCCCTTCACAATTTAGCTATTAACGTATTTTTCCAAATTTATCTCTTAAAATTCCCTCCATGAATCCTCCATTCCAGCTAAACTAGCTGAATCTTGCCTCAGCATATCTAGTTACCTATTTCTTTTCCTCTTTATGTCTCTCCATGAAGCCTGCCAGTTCCTCCTCTTACTGAATTCTAAATCCCTCCTACCAGCTTTAGCCATTGCATCTTCTCTGTAGCTTTCACTGACTACCCAGTTTGTGTTCTCTCTCCCTCTTCTAAATTTAATAAAAGTATTTTTCTCTGCAATTGTTTTTATAAGTAATTTTGTACTACTTCATATCTTTTCTGCGATCTTGAAGTATTTTTCTTTTATTTTAAAATCATTCAGCTTGTCATATTTTTATCTTACTTTCTCCCATCAAGATTAAAAACCCTGAAGTGAGGATATTTATCTTAGTACTGCTTTGTAGTACTACCAGAGTCATCAAGTACAGAACCCTGAGCAGAAGTTAATATAGGTTGTTTTGATACAGAATTCTAATTCTGTGTTCTTCAGGGCTTACTGATGGTCCTTACTTTGGCTACTCATATTCATTAGTATTCTTTTGAGTGTAGACAACATATAACCTAATATAGCTTAATCAAAATATTAGGATTTATTGGCATATATGACAATAGTCTGGGGATAAGTTTGATCCTAGAAGAAGCTTTATCTAGGACTCAAAAAAAATGGCCAGGGCTCCAGTTTTTCTCTTCATTTCTCTGCTCCATTCCCTCAGTTTTTAGGCAGGCTTTTCCATCATGTCTCAAGATAGGAGCTAATAACTCCCAGGGCTGTGTTCCTTTGCTTATAAACATCAGGAAAGAAAAAGTCTCAATTGCCAACAGTTTAAAGTCTGTGCATTGGGCCTCTTTGACCCTGGTTGTTATGATGTGAGTCATGTGATCAGGGGATCAGGGGACTGACTAAAGCCATTCAATTCACTCCAGATCTCCAGGTGGGGCATTCCCATCCACACTGCTCACCTGGGAAGTTTGGTGAGCCCAGAGGCAACCAACGAATGTCCACTGCCTACTTCCTTGTTTGACTAGAGTGGATAAGTTTGTTGTTTTTGCTCAAAAAAAAGGTTTTTGAATTGGAGATTTTGTCACTTCCATTTTCTTTCAGCCTTCTAAATGTGTAAAGAACAACTGATTTGAAAAATGGTTTCTAGACTTTGTGTGGTTCTTTTCAATTATAGTGAGTCTTCTCCAGAATGCTAATCAGAAAATAAAGAAATAAAATAGATTAGTCACATCTGTGTATTTATTCAGAACTCTGTTAATCTATGTCCTTTTTTTTGTCATCTCCCTTAGATTCAAAACTGGTCAAATCAATGGTGATTTGCTGATATACCATGTCTTGCTGACCTTGAAGCCATATTATGCAAAGCCATATGAAATTGTAGTGGACCTTACACATACTGGGCCTAGCAATCGCTTTAAAACGGACTTTCTCTCCAAGTGGTTTGTTGTTTTTCCTGGCTTTGCTTATGACAACGTCTCTGCAGTCTATATCTATAACTGTAACTCCTGGGTCAGGGAGTACACCAAGTATCATGAGCGGCTGCTCACTGGCCTCAAGGGCAGCAAAAGGCTCATTTTTATAGACTGTCCTGGGAAACTGGCTGAGCACATAGAGCATGAACAACAGAAACTACCCGCTGCTACCTTGGCTTTAGAGGAGGACCTGAAGGTATTCCACAATGCTCTCAAGCTAGCTCACAAAGACACAAAGGTTTCTATTAAAGTAAGTTGCCGTCCGTGCTAGGTAAATGATTCATTGCCTTTCTTCAGATTATGTGCTGGCCTCATTAGGTATCCCTGTAGCAGTGTATCAAATGTAAAGTAAGTCCAGATGGAGGGAAACCAAGCTTCCTGTTTTCATGGAGGTCCTGCAAAAGACAGAAAAGATGTACACTTAATTATATTAAGTGGATTAGAGACAGAAGAATGTTGTAGGGAGGGCAGTTTACTGTATGCATCAGTTAAATGGTAGGAATGTGTGGAAAGTGGAAATTACCTATTGAGAGTTAACATAATGCCTTTTGCAGACTGGAGAACATGAATCTTCAGGATAAAAATCAGTAATTATCTATAGGATTTTCTACTTTTTAAAAAATAAAATGTTTTTTCTGATGTTTTCCAACTGTTTTGAAAGCATTTATCATAATAATTATTGAACCCATTTGAGTGTATAATGGGGGTAGTTTTTCCTTAAATAGCAATCATAATATTTTGTTTGGTTAGTTTTTAGAGAAAGTTCTATGTAATTGAATTTAATTCTTCTCCACCCCACCCTGTCACCACCACTTTCCAGGTTGGTTCTACTGCTGTTCAAGTAACCTCAGCAGAGCGAACAAAAGTCCTGGGGCAATCAGTCTTCCTAAATGATATCTATTATGCTTCAGAAATTGAAGAGATCTGCCTAGTGGATGAGAATCAGTTCACCTTAACCATTGCAAACCAGGGCACACCACTCACCTTCATGCACCAGGAGTGTGAAGCCATTGTCCAGTCCATCATTCACATCCGCACACGCTGGGAGCTGTCGCAGCCTGACTCCATCCCCCAGCACACCAAGATTCGGCCAAAAGATGTCCCTGGGACACTGCTCAATATTGCATTACTTAACTTAGGCAGCTCAGACCCTAGTTTACGGTATGTTTTTTACAAGTTTTCTTCAACTTTATTCAGGGTTTGCTGCTTCTTAAAATGAGACCACTTAATAAGCGTTTAAAGCAGCCTTTGTCTTAGTACTCTCAATTGGAAGGTGTGCTCTGTTGGCTAACCAGCCTGACCTCATCATGCTGTGGGGGATTCACATGAACTGTGGACTTCTGAGTAGGGTGATTCACACTAAACCACCAATACGTATTCTTTCTCCAGGGAACTTTCATCTGAAACATACAACATAGCAGTTTTGTTTCTTTAGGTTTTTTACAAAAAAATCTTTTTTTTTTTTTTTACATCACCTGAATTGAGTTTCTCTTCCTCTAATTAAGTTCTTCCATGTTCAAAAGTATATTACTATTAAGTTTCCTCACAAATTAGGTTATCATTGTTTGACAAAGGAGGGTTTAATGTTCAGATACTCAGACAATAACATCGCATGTTTTCTGTCTATTGACTTTTAACAAAATTCCTGAAGGAAATCTTAAGACAACTATAGTTATCACTGAGCAGAGAATAAATGGTTCTGTTGAGGTTTACTAATCTGAACATGAGTGAGGAAAGAGTGTGGCCTATGGAGTCAGTAGATGTGTTTTAAATCTAGATTGGCTACTATGTATGACTTTGGGCAAGGTCCTAATAATATAGTGTATCACCTAGCAAATAGTTTGTGCTTAGTAAATATTAACTTCCTCCCAACCTCCCTCCCCTACCACATTCCTCTGCCAACGTCTCTTTGCACCCCTTCCCTCTTTTACCTTTTCCTTTTCAGGTGAACAATTCTTTGTCCTAGGTACCTTATGACCATCATGATTTTTGCAAATACAAATTCTTAGCTTCAGAAAGTCTTCCCTATGGTATAATATAACCTAAGTTTTATAAGCAGACCTTTTAGGACTCCCTTACTTAAAAGAAAAAAAAAAATCAACAAGAATTCTTTACCTGGATGGGCCACCTGGGATCCATGAACTCCCAAAAATTCCACACAAAATTTTGTGTGTGCACAGCTGTCATTATGTTGGAGGAGTCTATGGCACCTGCCACCAGTTTGATGAACCCCAATTCTTTATAGCTGTTGAACTATTCAGAGTAAAAGTCCATGATTAAATAGTATAATTCAAATCCTAGGAGTTAGAGATACATAAACTTAGAAACAAAATATTAATATTCTTATTTTAGGAAAATGGCCTACCTATAGGT